AAACTCCGATAAATCTGGCTACAGAACAACAGCAAATCAGGAACAACCAATCAAAATGTACTAAGGGTACCAGAAATCGGAGAGAGAACCAACCGAATTTGGAATGCCAGAATGCAACACATTAGAAGTCGGTAACCGATCAATCGGACCATGAACAAAAGGTCTTCATACGGAAACTACTTAAAGCATCAATCGGGTTCAGGGGGTGCCAGCTCCAACGCAGCGCAGTTTGAAATCGACCATTTGCACCGGGAGAAGTGTATGGTCCCTCCAGCCAGTCATAGCCCTATAATATCAGACAGGTATGGAGTAACTTCCAGTTCAACCACTCACTCATGATGTCACTTCGGTTGGTGATGAAACATTCGCAAGCTGAGGGCTACGAGCAGAGAACTGATGAACACTGTCCTGATCAACGACCCAGAAAGGGAACATTTCCAGATCAGATTTAGGTGAAAACATATGGCTTCTTTGATACCCAAGTTTGAAATGTAGGATCGCCTCACCTTGGTTACAATATTTTCCCTCAGTAGTGTATATCATTTCAGTAAACAGATGTAATCATGCCAACAAGACGTCTTTTCAAAAGACCTTAGTGTGACCGTTCCAACGGCAAGAGAATAAGTCCAGCTAAATGGAACACTGCTTTAAACCATCTTCATACATTGAAACCATCAGAACGAACCAACCAACAGACGTCCAAAGAATCAAATGTTCATCTGAGTATTCACGTGGCCATGCAAACAGCAGACTAGTGGAAGTTTATTCAGCCATTGAATATATCCAGCAGCGTGTACAAAACAATAATCTAAACTTCGTATTCGCAAACCTTCCATTTTCGCGGGGTTTTGTTTTGCCCCCTGTCTGTGGGAGCGCCTGCCAATAAGCTTCTCTTCAAGACCACCTTGCACATTCTGCCCATTAACAGCGGTCCTAATGACAACGTGTACATTTTTCTCCTCGGGACAGATATATTCATGGTGCTTCACATGACACCGTCAAATTAATTTTATTTTACAAAGTTTAAGGACGTTCGACTCACATGATTTTGTGGTCGATCCATTTAGACTGCTGAGCAAACGTAGACAACATAAACAAAGAACCCGGTCGTTTACGGTCACTCTTGACGCGTAGGTGATAGGAAGTTATCAGAAAATTCTCACTATCCTGCCAATCAATTTTGCCTCTGATCTTGCAGAGGGATAGGATAGAGACCAGCAAAAAAACTGGGTCCTATCATTGTAATTCGCGCTCCAAGATGGAGACCGCCTGATTCTCATCGTTACTCTCCTTGAATCGATGGTATTGATGTTCTTGTTATCATTTTCGGTTCAGGTCGCCTGAGTAGTTGTCTGGAGCTGTAAGTGTATCGGAATAATTGTGGTAGGCGAGCACCAAATCCTTTCCCCATCCGTTTTGATTCTTTAATTTTGAATAGGGCTTCAAATGAATATTGAATGCACGCAGGGAAGCGTCAATGTTGAAGGTGTTGAATTTCACCGGAACAGCAGCTACATCAGGCAATATATTCGTGGCTATCTTCGTCTACCGTAGGAGACCCTGATCAGCTACAGCTATGCGGGTAGACAGCATGGGGGATTTGGTATCCCAATTCTGAATGCAACAATCCCGATGCGGCGGAGTAGGTGTACTCAGTACTACGCAATGTGTTCAACCACTCTGCATTTGGCAAAATTGTCCGACATTTCAGCCTTCCGACGCGAATCCATGTTGCGTAGCATTTGGCAAAATTGTCCGACATCTCAGCCTTCTGACGTGAATTCATGTTGCGTGCGTAAACACCATGGAAGGGCTGATGGTTGCTCGGGGTGATAGTCTGCACAACAGCGTTCACGGTCACGGTTCACGAGCGTTGTTCGCTCCGTCTGTTGCTACCCGACGGTTTGTACTTACAGGACGAGTGTTTCCTCGGATATTTACCCACGGTATCCACCTTCGATGCAACCTGCTCATGGCTAGACTTGGAGCGCTCGGCATGGCTGTGGTGGCCGGACCATCACAGGTCATGTATACTGTGACCGACCGGTGAGTTTGTCAAATATTTTGCAATCCTGTTGGAAAAGACCTGACACTAATTTGGGCTCGTCATAATCAGGGTGCAAGGGTACTCACAAGCCGTCCACGTCGCCTGGGATACACCGTCTTCGAGGAGTTGTGAGCAGCTTCTTCGACTCATTTTGTCCAACCTGATATATTCGCTGTTCCGAGTCGTCGAGCAACTGTAGTAGACGTCAGCATAGTATCGGATAGGCGCGGGGTGACGGTGTGGAATGAGGATAAGCAGAAGCACGGTGCTGATTAATATTCCCCCGCCATGTTCTCAGCCGTGCTTGCAACCTGTCGTCATATAAACACTTCCGGTCCATCAACTGATGATCACCTCTTCCTGACTTATCTGCTCTCCTCAGTTCGCCCAGGCTGTTAGTGGACTGGGCCTTCCTACGGTCGCAGTCAGTGACATGTGTTCGCTTGCCAGTATCAACCTCATTTCGCCAATGAATATTTACTCGTAGTTGTACGTCCTCTTATGCCTTGTGTTCTGATTTTCAAAGCCACCATTCGTCCTCTGGGCTCCCTTGAAATGTGCACCTTTTGTCGATTTAGAGCAGCTAAAGTTGGAATTCATCATTTTTTGACGAGGCAACGCAAGTGAAAACAAGCTTACTTGTAAAATCATATGTTATTTTGTGTGCATCAGGCTCGGTTAAAACTGACGTTAGCAGATCGCTCCGCGTTGGACCATCTGACGTCATTCCTGTATCTGCTGCACCATACATTATACAGCGGTTCGGCAATGAAACGGTAGACAAAGTTATTTGACGCGATTAAATTCGGTGTTGACATGAGTTACAAACCTTGTGACTATGGAAATGTTTTTTGATTGGTGACGGAATTTGTTTCAACCAAAGTCCACATTAATGCTAACAGCAGTACATTCCGTGTAAAGGTCATTTTCGACTCATTCCGTCGTTTGTTGATAAAACCTATGATTGGAAAGCTGATGGCAACCAATGCCTTCGATTCGTAAGCCTAAATGCAAGTCAGCGGTCTGGCAGGAAACGACCATGCATTAACCTCTCTGCGGAACCAGGCGCCACAGGTTCCAACCCCATTCTAAAGGACCAGGACATTGTGTTCGACAGACACCTAGCCGTTCAGCGACCTGGGAAGATGGATTCGTGTATGTCGCTTGATCACCGTCCAATATACCTCAATGGGTGAATAAGGTGCGCAGACGGTCACACCACGATAAGTTCCAGACTCTTTGTGACGGGACCGCGATAGTAGCAAAACTTTATTCAGGCGCTTTCATCCTGGTTTTCTAAGGTGCGTATTGTTGATGATTCACAACTAGGATAAAAATGTTGCACAGTGATTCCCGGCCCTTCAGTGTTGATTGACTTCACAGAATGGTGTAAATCTCTCACTAACATGAGACATTAGGCAGGCTAGAGAAAGGATAGCTTCACTGGATTGAGAAACTTCCTCCTAGGAATTTGTCGCTCGGGGGGCCATTCAACACCCGGCCTTGACTTCACAGAATGGTGTAAATCTCTCACTAACATGAGACATTAGGCAGGCTAGAGAAAGGATAGCTTCACTGGATTGAGAAACTTCCTCCTAGGAATTTGTCGCTCGGGGGGTCATTCAACACCCGGCCACGTGGTGTGGTTTTCCGTCATTGAAGGACAAGTGGCGCCTTACCTTGTTTGAGTGAGAGCTAATCAAATCGATGACCAGCCACATGAGGTCAAACGGTTCAGTGCTGGAACTACCAGCCGTACCGTCATGGTTTCGCTTCGAAGCTACAGTAGTTTCGTGAGGGGCGCACTGCTGATAATCTCCAGCAAGGATGAACGGCTTCATAGTGCTTCTCAGGCTTCAGGCTTTAAATTCAAGAAGAACTACGCAACACGGATTCTCAAGATTTATCATGCTGTCAAAAAATTTTGATCGCACCCATCTAAGTATGGTTGTGAAATCTGTCTACAGCATAAATATCTTATCCGAAGAGATTCCAACATAGCATACTCGTGGATTTTGGATTACCCAACGCCCGGGACGTTTCTGGATAATTTAATCCAGTGCTCAAATTTACGGAGAAGGAACGCCCACCAATTACTTCAATTGATTGGTTTGTCATGTTATGGCGACATTATTTCGGACAACCTGCAGGGAACAACTTTGATGATTGCGATGATATGAACCTTTCCTTTGCCAACTCCACACCAGGTACTCGGTTCATGATAGCAACATAAGCATAAACGTATGAGAATCAGATAATGCTAAGCGTTCGTCTCACCCGCCGCGAGGCCGAATGCTCAATTCATGAGATTTACAGTGATTCAAAGTGAACCTCAGTGAGGGTGAAACACGTGTACAGTGCTAGCTGGTTTCATTTACCGGAAGAAATTAGGAAGAGATTTCCCTGAGTGGTTCTCTTATTGTCAACGTTGGAAATGTTCTCGGGGTTCCTCTGAGTTTGCTGGAGCTATTGATTTGCTACTTTTAAATCTCCTGTGTACTTTCGATTCGCAGTGTGATAAACGAAGTTCATAGACAAGTCTGTAATAAATGGTCATTTAGCTGATTCTAGACTCATATGGAGGCAAAGCGGCTCATCCCTGAATTTCGCGAATTTCGCGGATAACCAAGCAGCTACCTCGGTGACACCACTGTTTTAATCTAAATTTTACTCGGCGGGTTTTCGCAGAAAAATCACGTCGGAATTATTAGTTACTCAAACGGTCCCGGCACTAAAATTTATTTCCTCAGGCCGTGAGAGCGATCTGGATATTGAAATCATTCAGTCGGAATGAAAACAGCGCATCTGGTTGACTTCTTCCAAGACAGACAATTAGAGCGTCTGGTTGGCACTGTCCTACCAATGAAACATTTTATGTTAAAAAAGACCCCGAAACAGTTCTTTGCAGCGATCCCTAATTGGCTTGCAAATGTGGAACTGAGGCCAAACACACCAGGGGGATATCCATTCAGCTTAAATATTTGGCGGTCCCAACGAATGGTGAGATGTTTCCGAATGCTTTTTTTAAGTTTTGTAACACCATACATATTGGTGTGCTCGGACCTGGTGTTCACATCCGGGAGCATGCGGGCCATATCCACGTAGATAGGAACTTGCCAATCAATTGCTCGCAAGTGTAGAAGTTCTTGTTTACATAGCGGATGTTTGAAGCTTTGATTTCTTTCATCTGAGATGAAACGGGAGAGGACCAGTTCGTCTCCATGGTTAGCGGGTCCTTCATTGGAACTGCGACTCACATCGGTGGACAATCACTTGGGGATTTTAGACGAAACTCACCAATAATCCACTCATTTTGTTTGAATCAGCGTTACCTCTTGCAGGAGACGCAATTTCCCTAAGTGTGTATTCATTAAAGTAAATGGAAGGTACTGCCAAAAATGTGGACGTAGAATTTCATTGACAAACGCCTTAAGATCAGTCAAAGGCCTATACCTCTTACTTCAATCAACGAACCATTCTGGCCAATGGTGCACCAACCTGAAATATGTATCGTTTAGGCCCGGGCCTGTGATGAGCGCAGTATTCATGAAGATGATTTTCTCTGCTGCCGCTGAACGGTGTGCAGACATTACCACGTCTTGAACTCAAGAAGCTACCTATTCGTAAAATGGGAGTGGTGTTTCATCAGCGAGATCGGTTAGATGAGTTCATGATATTAGAATTAAGTCAAGGCTCCAAATATGCAGTGAAATTCATGGAAAGTTTAGCGATGCCCTACTTACCCATAATGATGTTCTGAGGAATATATTTCGGCGGTAATTTGCATTAAGGTGGCAACATTCAGCTGTCAGCATTGGGGAAGTCGCTGGAGAACAGGGATGATTCAGCAGTGGACAACCTGAATAACAAAGTGGAGCGACACGCTTGTAGCCATCAACACGGAGTCGTGCAGGCCGAGCAAACGGGCCGAGGTTACAGGTTTGGCATGTCTGGCCACGGCCAGTTTCAAAGAACGTCGTCGCAAACCACCTGAAACTTTGGATAACTCCTGCATTTTCGGGTGGGTCTCGATAAACGCAGAGACATAGTTCACCGTATTAAAGGGGGATTCAATTGACTCTTCCATCAAAACCGAATTCGTGTGCACATAAGACTCGTTATTGAAATATTCTTACTACAGTTAAGTGGTTTGCTCGGGAATATACCTTAAGAATTCCACAAGTAGTAGACCTTGTCGGAATACCGTCCCTTTGTCGACACATTTCGTCGTCGAAGCGGACTGAAGTAATGCAGGATACCGTTCTACACAATCAGAACGTGAGAGAATTATTAACGTTCCGTGTGGTAATAATATTTTCGTATCAGACGAGAGCTTTTTAACAAGGTTAAACTGCATCACATTTTGTAGAAAATAGCTTTCGGAAATTTAAGTTAACTTAGAAGGTCAGGATATCTAATTGGTTTGGGCTCGAAAGTACTGACCATTTTTGGAATCCAGCGTCGGCATCTTGACTTTTCCTATCCAGGCTTTGGCGATTGCACAATCCTTGTCCTTCCCTCGTACAATGTGGCGGCTGCATGCCAAAACGGCGCTGAGGCTGAATTATTACTATAACCATCATGGTCTCAATATGAACACTGCTACTTCATCAACAGGAATTGCAGTGGATTATCTTCACCAGTAGAGTTAGGAGGATTTGACATGTGAACGCAACTCAACATCACAAATGATGAGGCCACTTCTTACGAGAAGTCGTAAGATTCAACGCACACAGATTCAAGTCACCACCAGACGCCCGAAATTCAAAGTGACTCCCCTGTTCATGTAGGTACTCTAAATTCTGAAGTCTATTTTCATTAAAAAGGAAAATACGAATAATTTTCTCTTATAATTTCAGTTTCATTGGTTTGTAATGTTTTTCATATCGCCTTCTGAGAGAAATGGGAAAGGAAGTCTTGCTGCGCGTAACCTGCAATGCGGAAATTGAAAATTAAAATGACAAAAAATAGTGAAATACCGGAGCAACATTAAACTGATTTGAAAGAACCCATTCAATGATTTCAATATCGTGTATGTGTAATTTCAGCCAGGTGCGTCATGAGACCATCAATCTACGCAGTGAGTGAATATCCATATTTGAGAAGTCGGATCTTGAGCCCGGTTAATTTTGTCAACTTTCGTGCTGATCTACTGTAAATACACTACTTCGCCGGATGGTTTGTAGGACAGAAAACCGTATCAATGTCTCCATGGTCCAAAGTAATCAGCAATTGTAGTTATGAAGGCAGGTACTAAACAAAATCATTGTGAATAATCAGCTTGTTTTGTCGCAAGTGAACAGAACACAATGAAATGATCGACATTTGTCCTAAAACACACCACAAATTACCACTGTGCACATACTGTTGTATAAAGTTTGCGCATATGATCAGCCATTCAAAACGCTGAACAAGTTTTTCCGATGATACATCGGTTGGCAAAAACTGTCTACCAGAGTGCTATTAGTTTTGTGGTGGATAGCTTTTTCACACCATCGCCGTACATATTTAGGACAAAGTTCGATTCCCAGCGGGAGTACATTGTAAAACTCCAGAAAGATGAAGCTTCAAGTAACCCTGGATAAAACGCGTTGTTTTTCGCTTCTTATTGCGCTTTTGTTCTGCACCCACCGTGTAGCTTGTTTGGAAGCCGCCGGTGTCCACAATCTGTCATCCATATTTAACAACCAGCCGTCAAAGAACTGGGTTGTCCTTGTCGCTTGTACCAACACCTGGGAAAGTTATCGACATCAAGTATGTTTCGGTCAGAATTTTCATTGTTTCGATTGCCGAATTCTTCTGAAGACCACACGAAATGGTTTTCAAATGTGAAATTTGCACTAATGGTACCCCAAACAGATGTTTTCTAACCAAGTATCTACCTGACTATGACGTTTCACTGAAAAAGACGTTTGGGCAAATCCGAAACTAATGGGTGCACATTTCTTGCCCTGTATTCGTTTACGACACCAGTTCTTTGTCGTGCTACGATATTTCATTCCGTGACTGGTCGATTCCATGGACCCAGTAAACTCAAATGACGCTGGGGTGCGTACCATGAATAATGTTAATCGGAGACAAATACCGTCATGGAAAGTGTTTCACGTTGCGTTATGTTATTTGAAATCGCTGCCACGAGAAAAAGGTATGCTGTTGCATAAAAAAATCGAGGAATTTAATGATCCTCAAGCACCACCGCTTATCAGACCTTGCTTCGTAACTTGATCATATTAGAGTAAAACTCGCACTACCGTCAATTATAGTGACCTGATTAACAACCCGGGTCACAGAAAGCTAACAAAAGTCCACCCCCGCTGCAGCGACACCAGCTGCTACGCCAAACACATCAATTTCGAGAGCGCCGGAATCGCCGTGCAATATGAGGAAATAATACTACACTACTTGGTAAAATCGAGTGAACGCCACTCTGATTAAATACACCCGTTCCTCTATACCCTTTTTGCATGGGATTATATGAGAATCGCATGCAAAAAATTTGCGCATATTGAATGCGTGTGTACAATAATAAGATTCAGTGGGTACGCATTCCATCATTCTGACATTTGGAGAAATCAGAAGCCTTGGTTTACACAACCACTGGAAGCCCGGAATCGCGCCTCCCGTTCTTAGACACTGTCTTCGAATAAAATATGCACATGAAAAAATTCTTGTCACGAAGGAAGTCGAGCTAATTTCTAGGTGACCGATACACTCCCTTAGGGTCACATCGAATCAACTCAGCTCGTTTAGAGTGTTCCATCCGCCCAGGAAAAGCAAATCAATTAGACAAACAACCACAAAGTATTTCACCACCATGTTTAATCGGAGATATTTCGAGTTGGTCAGGACCAGCCGCCTGATCGCTCTTGAATTAGAACATGAAATGATTATTTCTGAAGCATTTGGAAGTTCCCCATTCATTGTCGGGACTCCAGTTGACAGACTGCATATAATCGGTCAATTAGTTGTGGAAAATATTTAATCTTGCGTTTGGTCATGCATACTAGGGCTTGCTTGGTCCATGGTAGGCCTCTTTGAATTTGTTTCCATAAAATTTCTCAACCGCAGCAGTGCTTTTTCAAGAAGTCATAGCGTTCGTTGAGTGATATTGTGCTCTCTGCTCGGATGAAACCTGTCCAAGTTTTGCAGAAATTTAGATCGTTGGCCGAGATCCAGTACTTGCATTTAGTTTGTTTACCATTCCACAATAGTGATGCTCAGTACCTTAAAGACAGTAGGGGTTCACATCAGAAGTCCCGAGGACCGGGAGGGACGTCAATTTTGATTCTGTTAGGCTTGTCCAACCTCAGGTTTCCAAGACTTCCCAATAGTCAGCTGAGATGTGTGCATCATTCAAATGCGGCAATCGCTCGAAGAAAGCGAAAAAAATGTCGTTCGGTACCTTATTACACTGGTGTTCTAGAAATAGCAACGCCGCACATAGCTAATATCGGTGTTGTCCGTCTGTACTGCGGGTTAGTTTTTGTGAAGGAGCGCCATAGGGCGAGGCGGCTTTGGTTGTTTAGGAAGTTACTCATACCCATCTTCAACATGTTACTAATTCAGGCGTCCCCCGTGGTCCGTGAATTCCACTTCGGTTCTGCACCTATCTAAATGAGTCACGGAAGCGCTACGTCTGCCTACATGCGCTTTTATGTCTTTGACAACCACAGTATTATGCAGGCTTTTACTGGTTATCCTCCAGGTTGCTGCAAAGAGCTATCATCGATGCCGTTGACCATTCAATGAGAAACTCTACGTTCAGCTGACTTAGATCAATACCAGCCACAGTTGTAAAAGCAGCAGCGGCGCCGGAGAGGAGCGTAATTTAGAGCCAGCGGAATATAATGTATATATCAGTATGTCAATCTCGATGGGAACTTAAATCGGTAAAGCGGGAAGCCTGTGCAGCGAACAAGGATGCTGTGCAAACCCTGAAGATTAATACAAGAACTAGGAAATAATATCGGATCGTCTAAAGCTGTAGCGACTAAACTAAACGCGGATATTGTAGTTCAAGAAGATGAAAATAAAAACGGTTCCGTCAGATATTAAGATTGTGCCTGGGTCGGTGTCGATACCACAATTTGATTAATTTGAGAATATAGGATATATGCGGGAAAAGGAGAGAAGGAGAGCATCTGTTGTACTAACTTTCGCTCACTCATCATTGAAATTAGGCTGTGATGCCATCAGTGAGAGAACGAGTGCACTTAACCGAGAAGTTAGTTATTCGCAAACCTTAAGCGGCTCCCACCTACTGAACAGAAAATATGAAGGGATTTTTGCGTCGCAAATACACTACAGAGTGGGTTGTTGGGACGCACAAACCCTCAGGCCTCTGTGACGTCGAATTTGTCTCGTAAAGAGCCAGATACAGCATACCTTCAGGTCGGGTGACGATAATGGAACAGGCGAAAAAAACATTCTTAGAGGGGATTTCAGGAGTTCGTTTCATCCTAAAGGGTCGTGGACGAAGCATCTTCCAAGACCAATGGTGTTATCCCTGGTCATTAGGATGATCCCAGTTCTAAGTTAGACACACAGTAGGCCAAGAAAGGACTGACTTCCGTCCCTTGGTCGATGATGCATTATTAATGTTATACGCATAACGATTTAAAGAAGTCAGCATGTTTAAAAGTCAGCCTGGATACTGTCGTAAAACCCGATGCAAAATCTCATGATCAACTATTATCACCCTTTTATTCTTTTGAAAAAACAGATTGGTCTAATGGAAAATTTTGTAAGATTTTCCCTACCCGGATAAACAGCTGTTCCTGATAACATTGGATGGTGATGGAGATTGACGACTTTGGAAGCTATCCAGCCGGTGATATTGATGACTTTTCAACATTTCTTCCCGACGAATCAGCAATGCATTTTCGGGATAAATTTCGATACCTAATTTACACCATTGTAATGCAAAATTGACGCAGTCTATTTGAAATCCACAGTGGCATATGGAAGGGGGGTTTAAATGGATATCGCGAAAGCATTATTTGAGGGCTGCTGTGCAAGCAATGAAGGAAACTTATCTCATGTGATTGTGTCCAAAGAAACTGATAAACCCAATGCAGCGAAACAGTATTCACAATAATCTTAGATTTACCACAATTATGACGAATTGAACAGTTTTCGTTTCATGGAGAAATCCCAATCAAACCGCGTTCCCAAATGGGTTGCAGCGCAAGCTAATCAGTTGCTCGTGACCAATCGGTCGGCCTGCTAGTGACTGCCGGGATGTGGTAGGTTCGGGACCCTCCGGAGATCACACTATAGATGATTCTCAGTAAGGATACATCAATTGCCTCACATAATGATTAAATCACGATTTGAAACCTCAAACATTGTACTCCAGCTCCGAGGCAGCCAAAATTAATAACTAGTTAGTTGCCGTGCACAAATTCAAGCAAGAAACTAACGGGACACAAGCGAATATGTCAGAATCAACATATTGGACAGGGATAGGGCATTCAAATGTTTTTTAGACCTGTTACTCCACTAAGTATGCAGAATCCTAGGAACTCCGCTTGCAATCATTTGCCTCTATGTTACACTCCGCCTGTTACCACTCATTTACTGTTATTTATATTTTCCTTCAGGCGAACGTTTATCACGCCTATCACATTTTGCGTGCAAGCAAAATTCCAGCGGAGAATATAACTACCATCGCCTACGACGATATCGCCAACAATCTCAAGTAAATATTACGAACAATGTTTGTCATATGATATTAATTAGATGGTAGAAATCGCTATCCGTTATTCGGTTTTATATTCTCCTATTTCTGAGTCGTAAATTTCACGTATACAAACTATGAATATAATTGGGTCAAAGAAAACTGGTTCAATGCGTCACCGGAGATTTATCATTAAGTTTCCAACTTTTAATGACATTTCATGACACCATACTGTATTTACGCTTATTCAATCACCACAACTGATACCAGCTCAAAATGCAATAATTCCAGTATATCCTACCTGGTGAATATGAAATTTCATCTTCTTTTCGATTGTCAGTAATCTGAAGTCAATTACATCGATGCCAAGATGTTGTTTAAGGACATCATCCGGCTGACGATTTGGAGCAAGTTTTAGGGGCACAACCTAATAGACTTATCATTTTGTAAAACAGCCAATTGCTAGGATTCGCGGCGGAAACTTTCGAAAGATTTTTTTTTGCTTGGAGGCTGCAATAATTGGAAGTCATTCACTGGCTAATTAAATTACATACAAGTGCAGTGGGTGAGGGTATGCTCACATAATTTGTTACTACAGGTGTTTCCCTGTAGATTTACATAAGAAAACTACATTTTCACTTAGAATGTGTAATGTTCTATGTTTCCTACCTACCGGATTTATACATCAGGTATAACTTATGTTGGAGTGTCATATGGTTCCATAGGGAACCTACGAACATTTCATTTCCTCTGTTTGACATTTATGGTAATTTCTTCATCCTTTTATTCCAGGAATCCGTTCAAAGGCAAAGTGTTCCATGACTACGAGCACAAAGATGTTTACAAGGGTGTGGTAATTGACTATCGTGGAAAAGTATGTTCATGCGTAGCAATTAAATTAATTTGTTCACCGTGTAACACAAGGTGCAAGTAACATGACACTGCGTATTAAGACACAATATCAACCGTAGGGCATCCTAGGCAGTTTAACTACGTTACATAATAGTAAATTTGCTTGAACGAACACTAGGTGATAGAGAAAACTCAAGCAGCCCACGACCGAGTTTACACTTCTGCTTGTGGCCTGCCAAGTAAGCTTAAGGTGTATTAACGGAATTTTCACAGTCTGGTTCTCCGCACGAAGCTTTCAAGCTAGGGTTCCTGTCAAACGAAAAATTAGGGGTGTTTAGCGTGTACAAGTGCCTGAAACCAGATACAAATCTTCGTTCGTGAAGTGTATGCGTCGACTGTCTTCTGGAAATTGTGGTGACTCCTGGATTCGCCATTGACATGCACCATTCGGTGGACACTGAGTGAGTATTGACTTTGTTTTAAACAGAGTTCGTCTTGGAAACTAGCCATGCCTGTCGACCACACCAAAAATCATGTTTTAAGTTTCCACCATTTAGCAACCGTCCCGATAGTAGTCTGGGTGAAGATGGAGAGCAGACCCTAGATTTCCAATTCTTTGCTAGAGGGTAAGTGGATGCCTACTGACAGTAGAATAAGCGTGGAAAACACCAGTGTCACAGATATAACTCATTATGAGTGTTTATCTGTTTCAGGACGTCAAACCGTATATCTTCACGAATGTACTGAAAGACGATAAGAAACTTGAAAAAAGGGGAGAAAGTTATGGAAATGTGAGTTTGCGCGGAAGTAGACAATTCTGATGCATACGCTAATGACAGCCAGAATTATGGTGTTGCAGTGCAGCCTTTTTCGGATTTGCAAAACGCATGTTTCGTATTCTCGTAAGATATGTGGTACATAATCCCCATAATTAAAGCAACTGTGGTGCAATTTGTAATCACCCGCTCTTTATGCGTGTTAACTAATTCAGAGTTTCCAATCCAGCACGTAGTTTGTTGAGATAGAGAAAGAAGGATAGTCTTTATAATAGGTAATCAAGGGCGTTAAAGTCCCTTGCAAAATAAAAACAGTGTTATCAACGAAAAGAGCCATCAGTTAAACAAACTTCGGAAAATCAGGCTACAGCATAACAGAGAATCAGAGCGAACCAACCAAAATTAACCACTAAAACCAGGAGTCGGATTGAGAAGGAGACCATGGCACAACAGAAATTGGTAATCGATCAATCAGACAATGAACAAATGGTCTTGAGAGAGAAAATCTTCGAGTTCAGAGAATGCAGATCATATGAAGCAACTACATTTTCAGGCAGAACAAATCGTTAGGCATTTTCTGGGAATACAGCGGACAGATGAGCATTCTCTTGATTAACGCATAATATCAGACAATTATGGAAGAACTGCCGACCCAACCATTCACTCATGCTGTCACTTCGGTTGGTGACAGAACATTTGCAAACTGATCACCAGGATCAGAGGACATATGAGCATCCTCTAGTTCAACGACCAACAAATGGAAAGTATGGCTTCGTGGATGTCCATGTTCGAAATATGGGATTGTCTCACCTTGATCATAATATTGTTCTTCAGTAGTGAATACACCACGGGGATAATTTCATAAACATAATTATGCTGCAAAGAGCGTGATTTGGAAACGGCTGAGTGTCACCGTTCCAATGACAAGAGGATACAACTAGCTAAACTGGAAAACTGCCAAAGGAGCTACTATTTCGCGTGATACAACAGCAAACCAACAGGCGTCCGGAAAATCCACTTTTAATTCCCATATTCAAGTGGCCATGCGAAAAGCACACTAATGGAAG